AGGCCCACGACGGTGAGGTGTTGTCCGACAGCCTGCACAATAGCAAGTGTGAGTGAGGAGGTTTCACCGTTGTATTTTTGAAAGAAGGTGATGTCAAATGTTTGTACGGCGCAACATGATCTTCTCTTTACGGCGGTAGTGACCGGGATATGGTATATTTGGTAGCATTTTTAGGGGAGGTGTTGTCGAGGTTGCAAGGCGAGGCAGGTGGTTTTGCCGACGGTATATTGTATCTACGTCGGTGATTTTTTTTGCGGTACGGTATTTGGCGGTGTAGCTGTTTGGGTGTTGGTACTACGACATTGACGCCGAAGGCGCTACTATTGTTTTGGGGGAGGGCAAGCGATAGGTTATTATTTATTAGGCTCATCTGGTGGTGCAGCGGCGGTGTGAGCAACACTTGGGACCCAATTTAGAACCAAGTGGGGGGGGAATGGAGATTGGAACAAATGTTGTGACAGACGTTTTATGATCAGCCGAGGTGATTTGGGAAAATTGGATTGGGAATAGGGGGAATTATTTTTGGTGGACGAGGTGTCGTTGAGATTGTAGAGGGACCATGCGGGACTTGTAGGTGAGAGCACTCTCCTCGAGGGCTATCTCACTCAATTCTTGTGAGTGACACCTGTGTCCATGGTGACACTTGAGAAGGATGCGGATCGTTTTTTTTTGTGGACAACCGCAACTTGTGAGTCATGCGGCCGATCTTCTCTTGAGAGAAATACTTGGCTTTTTGGAGTGAGTCATCGTCAACTTCACTCAAGGTCAGTTGTGACTCAGATCCCTTTTCACACATGTGTGAACCCACACCTTGCATGCCATTGCTTTGAATTCAGGAAAAAGGTAGAATAAAGTGTGTGACGTCATGCATGTGGGAAAGGTGGGCTTAATTGGTTGGGATATGGATGGTTTTGGATTGTTTCTTTTGTTGTTGCACATGTAGGTAAAATGATGTATGCGAAGGAGAATTGGATTATACCTGCTAAAAAAAATGATGAAAATTTTTCTTTCTCTTCGGCTCCATACCTGTTTGCATGTCATCAGAAAAAGAAAAAGGTGGATGCCAGAAGAAAGTAAATTTTGGATGAAGAATAAAAAAAGTAAGAGAAAAATTTGAGATTTTTCCAAGGAACCTCTCATTCTATCCCGAATGACTTTTCTTTCTATGCTCGTCCAAAAAAGTCTCAATCGCAGTATGCTTCAAGTTTCCTATCTTATTCTCATTTCGTCTAAGTCAAACCCCAGTGGGAAGTATAGGGAAAATGATTACACCTAGGAATTGGGACGTCCTCTCTCTAGGAAGCATCTAGGACAGGGGTTCGTTGCTTTAGGAGTCGGTCATGTTATTGACCTAGAATGAACCGTTTAACGGGGGAATACCATGTTATATGGCAGTGTAACCAACCCAACTTCTGAGATTTGAACAATGTGTTCAGACGAGGAGGATGGGTATTCCATACGACTTTCTAGAAGGTAGGGTGTTCCGCAGTAAAAAGTAATAATTTTCTCATGCTTTCACGTGGGGAAAGGTCACAATTTGTACATTGTTGGGTGACCGCCTTATGTGTCACTGACGTCTGGGGAACTGGTGTCAAACGAAACCCAATTCATGTACCTAATAGTATTGGATGAAGTGCACTAGAGTCAAGAATCTATCATCTTGAATCTTCTTATGCAAAAGACTCATCAATATTTGGTGTTCGATTGTATCGAAGCATTTGGACCTTCGACCTTCTATGTACCAGACAGCCGCCCCTCGAAAATCTCGGCGTACCTGTTTCATACAAGTATGTTGCGAATAACCAGACTCTCCATCCGTGGAAAGGACCGTGGCACAAGAATCACGGTTGAGGGGGAAAAAAGTTTGATTAAAGAAATTAGTGCAACTTGAAGTAATATTAGTTTGACAAAGTTATTTCTTTGTCGTTCAGATGTATACAAAAGCGGTGATCATCCGCTTGTCCCACGCGCATGAGGCGGTAGCTGAATGGGTCGGTGTACCAACGTGGTCACGGAGTGACCTCCTACGGGAAGGGCGACTCGTGTATAACCCTTATGAGGTCTTCACAGAATAATATTCCTCACGTTTTTGGGATGGAAGCATGCAAAACCCGCCTCGTAATTATGTGTTTAGGACATGGTCCGAGCTACACATTATTCACTATGAACTGATGCCTCCCTTTCCAACTCATAATTTTTGGGACGTGAGCTTAGTGGTTGTTCATTTATATGAGATGAACCCAGAGGTGAGAGAAACGTCAAAGATTCGATGGATGTTGCTCCGTACTATGTTATGGACCAACGAGCGACAAAAACCCTTTTGTTCAGTATACCACGTGGGGTGGATTCGGGTTAATCAACATCACATTATTCAAGTTGATCCCTTTACTGAAGATGCGTGGCAAGATGAGGTTTATGAGATAGGGAAAAACTTTCGCAACTAATGTTTTCTCTGTTTGCGCAGATGGTGGGAACGAGACAAGATTAGACCATTCCACGTTTTCTACTAATACGTGACACAATCGACGAGAAGGATATCGTGTGGGTTGAACGGTTATCCATGGTTTTCAATGGCACGTCGACGCGATGGATTGGTTTCATCGGGATAGTCAACGATGGTCGCGGATTTTTTACGGAAGATAGAGCAGCTATCCGAGCTAATGTGGCCCGACGGCAAGATGAACTCAATGGATATACCTTATATTTCCATAATCACGGATATGATGCCACTCTCTCGTGTAATCGTCGGAGTCAAAATTACAGTTTCGGGTCAAAGATATAGATTCATGCGGATAAAAGAAACGACTACGACAAGGTTGTTGAAGATGAGTAAGCCCTTCCGGGCTATTGTTTGAAAGCTGGTGTATCGAGCAGCGGTACTATACGACTCCAACGAAGTTCGCGTGCGGCGTAGAACGCGAACAATGACTTCGATTTTCGATGACGAGGAGCTTGCACGGCTTGATCAATTGGAGCCACAAACTAGAGTTGGTCCTCAATTTGAACTCTTCTACGAGTGAGGTGCGACTTTGTATGTCGTACAACCAATTACCCTGAAGGTTTGGCTAATTTTAACCGTGGTTTATCGATAAGGTTAATGTAAAAAAAAAAAAAAAAAAAAAAAAAAAAAAAGCAATTTTCTGTAGATAGGATAAACCGGATGGATATTATTTGAAATACCCTGATGATCTCATTGTCATGCTTATGCATTGAGGGGTAATTAAACACGTACTAACAATGTATGTCATGCGTAAGTTGATTGAAATGAGGAAAGAACATCACCAAATTAAACAATGATCTGAGAGTTCAAATGTTAGTCCTTTTCTAATTTTTTCATCAATGGCAAACTTCCGTTTTAGAAACGGCGATATAAAGGGGTTTAGTTATATAGGCTGGGAACAACAATTTCGGTGAACTATCTTATCGAGTAAAAAACCGATCTTTCGTGATATGATATAAAGTGCATTGATTTTATTGCTTTATTTTCAAAGAATTTCCAAGGGACTAGGATTATTTTATGGGTTTCACGCTTGGTTGAGACCGTCCTAGTCGACCAACGTAGTATGCACTATACTTAGGAGATCAGCGCCCTAGGGAACGGACGACTTTCGGGTCCACTTGGCGTTTAACCAAGCGTTTTCTATACTGCAGCGAAACGAGCAAACACCTCGGCTAACTTACCTCTACGATGTCATA